TATTTGATCTATAGATAAGGAAATTCCATATGAATTAATAAAGTATACATATCATGAGAAAAAACGTATCAAATTAATTGAAATTACCACAACTCAGTCAATATCTGCCTGTATTGGATAAAAACAACTACCATTTGAATTCTCTCGATGAGATGTCTAATTCATAAAATTCTAATCACTAGTTATTATTATAATGAAGATTTCGGGCCCTGATACACACAAGCCGAACGCAGCAATCAGTACTTGATAAATGGCCGACTTGGAATTTTGAAATTTTGTTATTGTTTAACGTTAAGTTTAAAGGATGAAAAAGTTGGTGTTCAGTTTATTATGAAAAGTCTTGTCAACCTTGACCAAGGGAATACAAACAAGGAAAAAATGCTACGTATTTTGCATAAAAAACCATGAGCCTTTTTTATAAATAAATGATCTTTTATTTATTTTTGGATGGGATTATTGTTTACCTTTAAAAAATGGACATTAATTGACAAGGATCAGTAATATCAGCAATTAAAAGCTGAAAAGTAAAAGTGGTTACAAAGGATAAGAAGAGAAGAACAATTAAAGAATAATGTGAGAGCTGCAAGACGAATATTTAAAATATTTAAATAGGAATCCCCAAAAGTAATAATATTATTCAAGAGCTTCAGAATGAAGTTAAAACATTACTAAATTAATCCAATTATCTTGCATGGAGTTATTTAATTAAAGGTTTGGAATAAGGAACCGTTAATTTTGTGGGTCAAGATCACAATCACGCTATTGAAGGTCATTGAGTGTTAGTATTAGAAACTTTACTCTTACGGTATCGTCGTCATGTTCACTTTGTCTCATATTTTATACATATATATAAAATAATAGTAAGATAACACCTTAGTGGCCGAAACTGGCCGAAACACCAAGTGCCCAAACTAATTTTTAATATTAAAATAAGTTATAAGAAGTCCAAATTGCCCAAGCTAGTTTGAAAAAAAAGCTTGGACTGGAAATCTTATTATATACAATATTATGACCATGACTATGGTTGTTATGATTATATTATTACAAAAAATTTAGTGTCCAACGCACAAAAATTTTATTTTTAAAAAAGAAAAAAAATAATAATAATTTATAATACATTTATATTTGATACACCTACTGTGTTGAATGCTCCTGACTTTTTACTAAAATCACTAACATCATTTGTATCTCTATATTGGATTTTATTATTGTTGTCGTTATTGACAATAGGCAATGATGGTGATATTAGTCTTTGAGATCTGCCACCAATGGATAGTGGATTTGGTATTACAGGTGATGATATATTTTGATGAAATAATTGTTGGTGTGCTGGTGTTGGAGGAAGTGGTGAACTGGGTGGAGGAAGTGGTGGTGGCGAAGAAATAATTATGTTGTCTCGATTTTCTATAAGATTTTTATTTATTGAAATTTTACTAGAATTTTTTCTTGGTAATTTTTTTGATGATAATGATGGTGATGGCGATAGCGATGGCGATGGTGATGGCGATGGTGATCGTGATGGCGATGGTGATCGTGACCTTGAACTTGAATTTAATCTTTGACTTAAAGGATCATTAGATAAATATGATGTTCTTTGCAATGGCTGTGATTGTAATGTATCTGTTGCTGCTATTGGTAACGGTTGTAAAGGCAATAGAAGAGTGGATTGACTATCAGCAAAACTTTTATCTAAAGAACTTTTACTAGAAAATTTCCTTGGTATTGGCGATGAAATTATAGGAATTGTATTATTATTATGATTATAATTATTATTATTATTATTATTATTATTATTATTATTATTATTATTATTATTACTACTAATATTAACGTTGTTGTTGCTATTATTATTATTATTATTATTATTATTATTATTATTATTATTATTATTATTATTATTATTATTATTATTATT